TCAACCAAATCTTCGAATGGGCCACTCAAAACAGTATGAACTTCAATGAGGAGAAATTTCAACTACTCAGATATGGAAAACTTGAAGAAATTAAAAATGTGTCAGGGTATACCACGAATTCTAACCATACACTAGAGCAGAAAAGTAATGTGAAGGACCTGGGAGTGATAATGTCAGAGGATCTCGCCTTCAAAGACCACAACAATGTATCTACCTCATCTGCTAGGAAAACGATTGGATGGATAATGAGAACCTTCAAAACTAGGGATGCCAAGCCCATGATGATTCTCTTCAAATTGCTTGTGCTCTCTAGGCTGGAATACTGCTGTAGCTGTACACTAACAACCCCTTCAAGGCTGGCGACATTGCAGACCTGGAGAGAGTGTACAGAGAACTTTCGTGGCACGCATAAGTGCAATAAGGCACCTAAACTACTGGGAACGGTTGAAGGTCCTTGATCTGTATTCCTTTGAACACAGGCGAGAGAGATACATGATAATATACACTTGGAAGGTCCTGGAGGAATTGGTACCAAACCTGCACACGAAAATCACTCCATATGAAAGCAAAAGACTCGGCAGGAGATGCAACATTCTCCCGATGAAAAGCAGGAGCGCCACGAGTAAACTGAGAGAGAACACAATAAGTGTCCGGGGCCCAAGACTGTTCAATTGCCTCCCAGCATACATAAGGGGGATTACCAGTAGACCCCTGGCTGTCTTCAAGAAGGCACTGGACAGGTACCTAAAGTCAGTACCTGACCAACTGGGCTGTGGTTCGTATCTCAGCTTGTGTGCAGCCAGCAGTAACAGCCTGGTCGATCAGACACTGATCCACCATGAGGCCTGGTCTCAGACTGGGCCGCGGGGGCGTTGATCCCCGAAACCCTCTCCAGGTAAACTCCTAATTTCCACACTTCAAATTCTCTGCATAATATTTACACCACACATTGCCCTTAGACAAGACATCTCCACTGCCTCCAACTGCCTCCTCACTGCAGCATTTACAACCCAAGCTTCACACCCATATAAGAGCTGGTAGCACTATACTTTCATACATTCCCTTCTTTGCCTCCATAGATAATGTTTTTTATCTTCACACATACCTCAATGCACCACTCACCTTTTTTCCTTAATCAATTCTATGGTTAACCTCATCCTTCATACATCCATTCGCTGACATGTCAACTCCCAAATATCTGAAAACATTCACTTCTTCCAAACTCCTCCTCTCCAATTGATATCCAATTTTTCTTTATCTAAATCATTTGATACCCTCTACCAGCTTACTCTTTTCTATGTTCACTTTCAACTTTCTACCTTTACACACACTCCCAAACTCGTACACTAACCTTTGCAACTTTTCTTTAGAATCTCCCATAAGCACAGTATCATCAGCAAAAAGTAACTGTGTCAATTCCCATTTTGTATTTGATTCCCCATAATTTAATCCCACCCCTCTCCCAAACACTTCTTTTACAACCCCATCTATAAATATATTAAACAACCATGGTGACATTACATATCCCTGTCTAAGACCCACCTTTACTGGGAAGTAGTCTCCCTCTGTTCTACACACCCTAACCTGAGCCTCACTATCCTCACATTTAGTAACTTACTACTTATTCCATATACTTGCAACATCTGCCACATTGCTCCCCTATCCATTCTATCATACACCTTTTCTAAATCCATAAATGCAATGAAAACTTCCCTACTTTTATCTAAATACTGTCCACATATATGCTTCAATGGAAATACTTGATCTACACATCCCCTATACACTCTAAAATCTTCTTGCTCATCTGCAATCCTACATTCTATCTCACCTCTAATTCTTTCAATAATATCCCAACTATACACTTTTCTTGGTATACTCAGTAAACTTATTCCTTTATAATATTTACAATCTCTTTTGTCCCCCTTCCCTTTATATAAAGGGATTAATTATTCGTGCTCTCTGCCAATCCCTCTGTACCTTGCCCTCTTTCATACATTAAACAAAAATACCAACCACTCAACACTATATCCCCCCTGTTTTTAACATTTCTGTTAATGATCCCATCAGTTCCAGCTGCTTTACCCCCTTTCATTCTACGTAATGCCTCATGCACCTCCCCCACACTCACATCCTGCACTTCTTCACTCCTAAAAGATGGTATACCTCCCTGGCCAGTGCATAAAATGACCGCCTCCTTTTCTTTGTCTACATTTAAAAGTTTCTCAAAATATTCCCGCCATCTACCCAACACCTCCATCTCTCCATCTACTAACTCCCCTACTCTGTTTCTAACTGACAAATCCTTTCATTTCCTAGGCTTTCTTAACTTGTTTATCTCACTCCAAAACTTTCTTATTTTCATTAAAATTTCTTGACAGTGCCTCTCCCACTCTATCATTTGCTCCCCTTTTACACTCTCTCACCACTCTCTTCACCTTTCTTTTACTCTCCATATACTCTGCTCTTCTTATAACACTTCTGCTTTGTAAAAACCTCTCATAAGCTACCTTTTTCTTTTTTATCACACCCTTTACTTCATCATTCCACCAATCACTCCTCTTTCCTCCTGCACCCACCCTCCTATAGCCACAAACTTCTTCCCTACATTATAATACTGCATTTTTAAAACTATTTCAACCCTCTTCAACCCCCCACCACTACTCATATTTGCACTAGCCCACCTTTCTGCCAATAGTTGCTTATATCTCACCCGAACTTCTTCCCCCCTTAGTTTATACACTTTCACCTCTCTCTTACTTGTTGTTGCCATTTTCCTCTTGTCCTGTCTACCTCTTACTCTAACTGTAGCTACAACTAAATAATGATCCGATACATTAGTTTCCCTTCTATAAACATGTACATCCTGAAGCCTACCCATCAACCTTTTAGCCAGCAATATGTAACCTAACAAACTACTTTCATTACGTGCTATATCATACCTTGTATATTTATTTATCCTCTTGTTCATAAAATGTGTATTACTTATTACCAAACCTCTTTCTACACATAGCTCAATTAAAGGCTCCCCATTTTCATTTACCCCTGGTACCCCAAATTTACCTACTACTCCCTCCACAACATTTTTACCCACTTTAGCATTGAAATCCCCAACCACAAGTACTCTAACACTTGGTTCAAAACTCCCCACACACTCACTCAATAATTCCCAAAACCTCTCTCTCTCCTCTACACTTCTCTCTTCTCCAGGTGCATGTACACTTACTATAACCCACTTTTCACATACAACCTTTATATTACTCCACATAATCTTTGAATTTATACATTTATACTCCCTCTTTTCCTGCCATAGCTTATCCTTCAACATTATTGCTATTCCTTTAGCTCCAACTCTATTTGAAACCCCTGACCTAATCCCATTTTCTTCTCTCCACTGAAACTCTTCCACCCCCTTCAGCTTTGTTTCACTTAAAGCCAGGACATCCAGCTGCTTCTCATTCATAGCATCCACAATCATCTTTTTCTTATCATTCACACAACATCCACGCACATTCAAACTTCCCACTTTGGCAGTTTTATTCTTCTTATTTTTAGTAATCTGTACAGGAAAAGAGGTTACTAGCCCATTGTTCCCAGCATTTTAGTTGACTTTTACAACATGCATGGCTTACGGAGGAAAGATTCTTATTCCACTTCCCCATGGCTATGAAAGGAAAAGTAATAAGACCAAGAACTATTAAGATAAAATCAGAGAAAACTCAGATGAGTGTGTATAAATAAACGTGTACATATGTGTGTAGTATGACCCAAGTGTAAGTAGAATTAATTATATATACAGCGTATATGTAAGTGTATGTATGAAATTACCTGTTTATAATTACAAAATTAATAACTACAGGAGGAGAGCTATGCTCTTAGTGGTTCATCTTCAGTAGATTGTAGAATTTTTTATAGAATTTTAAAAGTTATAATAATTGTTGGAAATACTCTCATTTTGGATCATTCCAGCTGTCTGTCACACACTTTGTGAACAATTGTTTTTTGTTGTGTCTGCATTACTTTTTTTTTTTTTAGATGCTGTTGTTACTTATTCTCTGTTGATGGTGCTACAAAATCTTGCCAGTATCTAATTGTATCCTCTTTTGATCATATATATGACTCTAATGTCTGCTCTTTTCCTTCTGTTTGACACCAATGGAATCTCAGTGTTTGTCTCTTTCCATACATCATATTTCTTAACTCTGGATGGCATATGTTGTATTTTTTTGGGTGAGGACACCATATTTTAGCTTCATGTTCTAATGTTGGTGTAACATATATTGTGAGTAATATTTTATGTATGCGTGCAATCACAGACACACATACAAATGTGTACATGTGTACACACACACACGTATGTGTACATGTAAGTATACACATGTATGCATGCATGTGCATATGTATGTATGTATGTACATACATGTGTATATGTGTGTGTGTGTGTGTGTAAATAAAGTTTTTTTTTTTTAGCTTACTGTTGCTTCACCATAAGAGTTTCTCTATATTACTCCATTTTTGGTTTCCTGGTGGTTACCAGTTATTTATAATTAAAGTATTGAGTACTCCATCATAGTCTGTGAGTTATACATTCCTTAAAACAGTTGATGATAAAACAAAAATATGTAATGGAACCTGTATTGTATGATTAAAAACCCCACAAATGAGTTCTGATATTCTGACACCTACGCAACAGCTGCACTTGTCACTGATACCGACTTAATCCTAAATTGTTTTCCATTCACCTTTTTAATAAATATTCACAGCATTAGTCACTTTTCATTTGTCTGCTGATTTATGTTTTTAGAGGAAGCCCATGAAAATTTGTTTTTCTGGGTTCAGTCTTAAAACTTATGTATATAAGGTACAGTATGCTTTTTAACTCCTTTTTGGGGCTCAGTCTTGAAAACTACTGTATATAGAAGCAGTGCATTTAATGCTTTTAAAAACTGTTCATATAATGAATGTGCATGTTAGAGTTTTACAATAGATAAATCTTCTTACAGTAATGAAGCAGATCCTGAGGACTTCAAAAAAGCAGAGGACACAGTGGAAAGATCTTCCACTAATGGTGATCAGCAAAACAGGGAGGTGCAAAGTGCTGATACTGGTAAGGTGAGCAACAAGGTGAACATTTTTATTGTCTCTGTGTATTTGAGGTAAACAGTTGCTAGTAATATAGCCAGGTAAAGAAACAGTGTGAATGTTGGCGAAAGCGTTTCTTTTTCGAGTCACCCTGCCTCAGTGGGAGACGGCCACTGTGTTAAAAAAAATAATCTGTTTATATATCTATTTATATATTTATATACAGTCTCTCCTCACTTAAACGACGGAGTTCTGTTCCTAAGACCACGTTGGTAAATGAATTCATCGCTAAGTGATGAGCATACTATAATGATAGTGGGTTTGTGTCAACCATCTTTGATATTGTTTTAATGTCACCTTTGCACTATTTATAACATTTCTGGTATATTTTTAAATGTTTATACAGTAGTGTACTGTATATTGTAATAAACAGAATAAAGGAAATCAGCTGTAATATACATTATTTAGGTATGCGTGCTGGTCAGAGAGCCCATCGTAAGTCCGAGTAGTTGGTAAATGAGTATGTCGCTAAGTGAAGAGAGGCTGTATACATATATATTTATTTATTTTGTATAGTAGTCTGCAGTATTTGATATTGTTACAGGTGGAAATTTTTCAAGAAAATAATTTAACATTGGGTGACCTTGACAAGCTGGAAGAGGGGTCAGAGCCAAGCAAGATCATAAATGTTACAAATGATGAAAATCTCCAGCATGAGGGCATCACTGTAGATAACATTGGTAGGTTTGTATGGTTTTTTCATGTAAGCGTTGAGTTCAAATGTTATTTTATTCATTTCATTTTTCATTTTTCTTTCAAATAGGATGTACCTGTCATGTTTTATTGTTTTATGTTTGCTTTAATAATTTGCAACATGTACTTTTGGTAATGTTAAACTGCCATAGTTTAACATTTACTGTATGGGCAATATTAATATATATAATGTGTTATTTAGGGGCTAGTAACCCCTTCTCCTGTATACATTACTAAAATCAGAAAGATACTTTTGTTTTTCTTTTTTGAGCCACCCTGCTTTGGTTGGATACGGCTGGAAATTGACATGTTGGCAGATGGGTCTGTGAAAGAAAAACTAAGCCATAGAATAGCTGGGGAAAGGGTAGGTGGTGTGTTGAGACAACTGTGGAAAGAAAAGTTTTCCCACGAAGGTGAAGAGGAATATTTATTCTTTCTTTCAACACACTGGCCATATCCCACCAGCATTTTTATATGGGTGTGAATCATTGTCTTTAACTTATAGTGATAGGAGGAGACTGGAGGCAGTGGAAATGTTATTGAAAACAATGGTGTGAATATTATATAGAGAATAAGGAGTGCAAAAAACAAAAGATGCGAGGTTACAAAATTATGTAATTCAGAGGGTGGAGGAGTTGAGGTGGTTTGCTTATATAGAGAGGATGGAGCAGAATAGGATTACAAAGGTGTATGTATAAATCAAGGGTTGAGGGAAGGAGTAGGGGCTCTTCCAGGAAGGGTTGGAAGGAGGAGTTTAACATACTATTGGAGTGTGGGTAAAACAACAGTTATGAAGGGATTCAGGGAAACAGCTTAGCTTTCAAAGTCCTCTAGGTAGAAGTACAGCACCTGCATTCTGAAGGAGAGATCAGGATACTGTTGTTCAGAGGGTAATTTGCAGTCACTTCTGCCTACTTCTAGGAGTAATGGCTATTGAACAAATGATGGTGTCTGTGTTTCCTATTTTTTGGGTCACCCTACCTTGGTAGGAGACAGTCACTATGGTAAAAAAAAAAAAAAGGGGGGTGAATATCCAGATCACACTATTGTTAGAATTTTTTTAGTCATTTACTAAATTTACCAATACATATGTGTATTCTTGTACAAAAAAAAATCATTCACCTTTCACTTCTTTGTATTAAACCTTGTTGTTTGGGAGTCTCATTTGGCAACTTTATCAGGCAACATTGGTACTTGTTACAAATAAATGCATAAAACAACTATTGTATCACCTGATGTGTCAAGCATCCTAAGCTTATTTACACTTAAACAAGTTATTAATACTTTTCCTTATTCAGGAAATCTTTCATGAACCAAAAACTTAGTTTTCTCCATGTATTATAATAGTCACTAGGGTCCTTCCTTAGTTAAAATCATTCTTATCAGTTATAAATAACTAGATGTTGATTGCTTGTTGATGGAGTAAGCTGACAAGTAGATAAAAGATATTGTGTGTTTAGGGAAACTTTTATTACTGCTACAATGTTTCGTCCACGGCTGGACTTCATCAGTATGATGGATGAAGTGAAACCTTGGATGAAATGTTGTAGCAATAATATAGGTTATCCTTCAGCAGTGTGTCGTTTTATCATATGTTGATTATTTGTTGAATTATCATATTGGGATAACATTGTGTGTGATGCAGTGTCTCCTAGTGATGACCTCAGTGAGCGTCGAAGCAGCAACTCAAGCTTAACTTCTGTGACATCGCGTGGATCAATTATGTCTCCTCCAGAGTTTAATGGTAGTGGTAGTGGCAATTCTGCAGCAAATATCACAAGCAAAATGTTTTCACTGAAGGGCAGGTTGAGTGGTGCCTTCAGCTACTGGACAGGAAAAGAAAAATCACCAACCCAAGAGAAACCATGTAAGTAATAATTATTAGTACTATAATAGTTTTAGTATTGCATTGTACTGGTTTGTTGTCTAAGAAGTTAAGAATGTCATTAGTATAAGAGTGAGTTACTGCTTCCTTTGCTCCAAGTTATTGATCTTAATGGATTAGGCAGACTTGTTACATTGTAATTATTCGATTAATTAAAAATAATTCCTGGAACAGGCGGGACTGAAACCTATGGCAAGCAAGTTCTAAAACTGGCAAGCCAGTACACTAATCAGTGTACCTTGCTTGCCAAATGTGATTCATTCAACTAGGTATAATTCTGTATGCACTAGGGACTAGGTATAATTCTATACACACTAGGGACTGGCTTGTAGACCACACTAAACATTCAACACCTTACAGACCTCTCCCCATCTTCTATTATATAAACTCGTGTTTTAATTTGCTCTATATGAATTGTCACTATCATCATCTCTAGAAATGTAATCAACCCCCTCCTCACAAATTTAGAGGAAATACTGTAATTCTGTACACATATGCTAATGCAATATTTTGTATGAGCAGATGAAACAGTATATGTGAATTTTGAGGAGTTGAAATACCATAGGGGAATTCATGAATAAAAATAGATTACATATACATAGTAAACAGCATTTTATACATTTTTTTCTAATAAAAATAGTCAGCAACTCAATTTATCTTGTTTCTTTGAGTCATGAATTTTTTTCATTTAACAGCATCAACAGCTACTCCCAACCCATCTCCCAGTGAACCTGGAGATGACATCCCTGTTTCTCCAACCACTGGAGGATCTCTCTCTCAGGAACCTTTGTTGCTTGAACCAGAAGCTACCCTCTCTCCCTTTCAGTCACCACCAGAAAAATTTGCTGCTCTTGTACCATCAGAGTGTGGGCTTCCACTTGAGATTTTCACCAAGGTTAGTAAAATTAAATTGGTACAGAAGGTCATTCTCTAACGATGGTGGGATTTTGGAGCAACTCTGTACTGTACAGCTAGGTCTCGATTAATGTGAATAATTAGTAGGTTGGTAGACAGCAACCACCCAGGGAGGTACTACCATCCTGCCAAGTGAGTGTAAAATGAAAGCCTGTAATTGTTTTATATGATGGTAAGATTGCTGGTGTCTTTTTTCTGTCTCATAAACATGAAAGATTTCAGGTATGTCTTCCTACTTCTACTTACACATATATATATACAAACTTGTACACATACATGTACAAGCATATATACACACATTTTTTTTTTTATTATTAACACTGGCCGATTCCCACCAAGGCAGGGTGGCCCGAAAAAGAAAAACTTTCACCATCATTCACTCACATATATACACATATATACACTAGAGAAAGTGCAAAGGTTTGCGACAAGGTTAGTTCCAGAGCTAAGGGGAATGTCTTATGAAGAAAGGTTAAGGGAAATCGGCCTAACGACACTAGAGGACAGGAGGGTCAGGGGAGACATGATAATGACATATAAAATACTGCGCGGAATAGACAAGGTGGACAAAGACAGGATGTTCCAGGGAGGGGACACAGAAACAAGAGGTCACAATTGGAAGTTGAAGACACAGATGAGTCAGAGAGATATTAGGAAGTACTTCTTCAGTCATAGAGTTGTCAGGCAGTGGAATAGTCTAGAAAGTGATGTAGTGGAGGCAGGAACCATACATGGTTTTAAGACGAGGTATGATAAAGCTCATGGAGCGGGGAGAGAGAGGACCCAGTAGCAACCGGTGAAGAGGCGGGGCCAGGAGCTAGGACTCGACCCCTGCAACCACAAATAGGTGAGTACAAATAGGTGAGTACACCGCTCTGGGTTTTCTTCTATTTTCTTACTAGTTCTTGTTCTTGTTTATTTCCTCTCATCTCCTTGGAGAAGTGGAAAAGAATTCTTCCTCCGTAAGCCATGCGTGTTGTAAGAGGCGACTAAAATGCCAGGAGCAAGGGGCTAGTAACCCCTTCTCTTGTATAAGTTACTAAATTTGAAAAGAGAAACTTTCGTTTTTCTTTTTGGGCCACCCTGGCTCGGTGGGATACGGCTGGTTTGTTGAAGAAAGAAACATGAAAGATTTCAGGTACATCTTGTTCCTTCTACTTACACTAAGGTCACACTGCACATACATGTACTCGTTTATATATACACACTCATCTGAATTTTCTTTGATTTTGTCTTAATAGTTCTTGTTCTTATTGCTTTTCCTTTTATAGCCATGCGTGTTGTAAAAGTCAACTAAAATGCCGGGAACAATGGGCTAGTAACCCCTTTTCCTGTATAGCCTTCTAAAAAGAAAAAAGAAGAAAACCATCAAAGTGGGATGTTTGAATGTGCATGGATGTTGTACAAATAATAAGAAAGAGATGATTGTGGATGTTATGAATGAGAAGAAGCTGGATGTCCTGGCTTTAAATGAAACAAAGCTGAAGGGGGTGGGAGAGTTTCAGTGGGGAGAAATAAATGGGATTAGACCAGGGGTTTCAAATAGAGTTAGAGCTAAAGAAGGAGTAGCAATGTTGAAGGATAAATATGGTGGGAAAAGAGGGAATATAAATGTATTAATTCAGGGATTATGTGGAGTAAAATAAGGGTTGTGAAAAGTGGGTTATAGTAAGCATTTATGCACCTGGAGAAGAGAGAAGTGTAGAGGAGAGAGATTTTGGGAAATGTTGAGTGAGTGCGTCGGGAGTTTTGAACCAAGTGTGAGAGTACTTGTGGTTGGGGATTTCAATGCTAAAGTGGGTAAAAATGTTGTGGAGGGAGTAGTAGGTAAATTTGGGGTACCAGGGGTAAATGAGAATGGGGAGCCTTTAATTGAGCTATGTGTAGAAAGATTTTTGGTAAAAAGTAACACATATTTTATGAAAAAGAGGATAAATAAGTAAACAAGGTATGATACAGCAAGTAATGAAAGTAGTTTGTTAGATTATATATTGGTGGATAAAAGGTTGATGGTTAGGCTTCAGGATGTACATGTTTATAGAGGGGCAACTGATATATCAGATCATTATTTAGGTGTAACTACAGTTAGAATAAGAAGTAGATAGGACGAAAGGAAAATGGAAACAACAAGTAAGAGAGAGGTGAAAGTGTATAAATTTAGGGAGGAGGAAGTTAGGGTGAGATATAAGCAACTATTAGCAGAAAGGTGGGCTAGTGCAAGTATGAGTAGTGGGGGGAGTTGAAGAGGGTTGGAATAGTTTTAAAAATGCAGTATTAGAATGTGGGGAAGAAGTTTCTGGCTATAGGAGGGTGGGTGCAGGAGGAAAGAGGAGTGATTGGTGGAATGATGAAGTAAAGGGTGTGATAAAAGAGAAAAAGGTAGGTTATAAGAGGTTTTTACAAAGTAGAAGTGTTATAAGAAGAACAGAGTATATGGAGAGTATAAGAAAGGTGAAGAGAGTGGTGAGAGAGTGCAGGAGGAGAGCAGATGATAGAGTGGGAGAGGCACTGTCAAGAAATTTTAATGAAAATAAGAAAAAAAATTTGGAGTGAGATAAACAGGTTAAGAAAGCATAGGGAACAAATGGATTTGTCAGTTAAAAACAGAGTAGGGGAGTTAGTAGATGGGGAGCTGGAGGTATTGGGTAGATGGCGGGAATATTTTGAGGAACTTTTAAATGTCGACAAAGAAAGGGAGGCGGTCATTTCATGCACTGGCCAGGGAGGTATGTATAACATCTTTTAGGAGTGAAGAAGAGCAGGATGCGAGTGTGGGGGAGGTGCGTGAGGCATTACGTAGAATGAAAGGGGGTAAAGCAGCAGGAACTGATGGGATCATGACAAATGTTAAAAGCAGGGGGAAAAAATATAGTGTTGGAGTGGTTGGTATTTTTGTTTAATAAATGTATGGAATAATAAATAATAAATGTATGAAAATAATAAATAATAATAAATAATAATTAATAAAAATAATTAATAAATGTATGAAAGAGGGGAAGGTACCTAGGTATTGGCAGAGAGCATGTATAGTCCCTTTATATAAAGGGAAGGGGGACAAAAGAGAATGTAAAAATTATAGAGGAAGAGGTTTACTGAGTATACCAGGAAGTGTATGGTAGGGTTATAATTGAAAGAATTAGAGGTAAGACAGAATGTAGGATTGCGGATGAGCAACGAGATTTCAGAGTGGGTAGGGGATGTGTAGTTCAAGTGTTTACATTGAAGCATATATGTGAACAGTATTTAGATAAAGGTAGGGAAGTTTTTATTGCATATATGGATTTAGAAAAGGCATATGATAGTGGATAGGGGAGCAATGTGGCAGATGTTGCAAGTATATGGAATAGGTGGTAAGTTACTAAATGCTGTAAAGAGTTTTTATGAGGATAGTGAGGCTCAGGTTAGGGTGTGTAGAAGAGAGGGGGACTACTTCCCGGTAAAAGTAGGTCTTAGACAGGGATGTTTAATGTCACCATGGTTGTTTAATATATTTATAGATGGGGTTGTAAAAAAAGTAAATGCTAGGGTGTTGAGGAGAGGGGTGGGATTAAATTATGGGGAATCACATACAAAATGGGAGTTGACACAGTTACTTTTTGCTGATGATACTGTGCTTATGGGAGATTCTAAAGAAAAGTTGCAAAGGTTAGTGGACAAGTTTAGGAGGGTGTGTAAAGGTAGAAAGTTGAAAGTGAACATAGGTAAGAGTAAGGTGATGAGAGTATCAAATGATTTAGATAAAGAAAAATTGGATATCACATTGGAGAGAAGGAGTATGGAAGAAGTGAATGTTTTCAGATATTTGGGAGTTGATGTGTCAGCAGATGGGTTTATGAAGGATGAGGTTAATCATAGAATTGATGAGGGAAAAAAGGTGAGTGGTGCATTGAGGTATATGTGGAGACAAAAAATGTTATCTATGGAGGCAAAGAAGGGAATGTATGAAAATAGTGGTACTAGCACTCTTATATGGGTGTGAAGCTTGGGTTGTAAATGCTGCAGCTAGCAGGCAGTTGGAGGCAGTGAAGATGTCCTGTCTGAGGGCAATGCGTGGTGTAAATATTATGCAGAGAATTTGACGTGTGGAAATTAGGAGAAGGTGTGGAGTTAATAAAAGTATTAGACAGAGAGCTGAAGAGGGGTTGTTGAGGTGGTTTGGTCATTTAGAGAGAATGGATCCAAGTAGAATGACATGGAGAGCATATAAATCTGTAGGGGAAGGAAGGCGGGGTAGGGGTTGTCCTCAAAAAGATTGGAGGGAGGGGGTAAAGGAGCTTTTGTGGGCGAGGGGCTTGGACTTCCAGCAAGCATGCACTAGCGTGTTAGATAGGAATGAATGGAGATGAATGATTTTTGGGACCTGACGAGCTGTTGGAGTGTGAGCAGGGTAATATTTAGTGAAGGGATTCAGGGAAACCGGTTATTTTTATATCGCCAGACTTGAGTTCTGGAAATGGGAAGTACAATGCCTGCACTTTAAGGAGGGGTTTGGGATATTGGCAGTTTGGTGAGATGCGTAATAGGACAGTATATATATAATTGGGGCCCTGATATTGTAATTAGTATTTCAGGCCACTTTTTATATTGTATCTTTATATATGCTTCTAAACTGTTGTATCTGGGCACATCTACAAAAACAGTGATTATGTACGAGTCGTACGAGTGAGGTGAAAGTGTTGAATGATGAAAGTATTTTCATTTTGGGGATTTTCTTTCTTTTTGGGTCACCCTGCCTAGGTGGGAGATGGCAGACTTGTTAAAAAAAAAAATTAATCCTGTGAAGTGGTCGCGTTATTCAAAATCACACTTTTTGAATTATATATAATTTTTGCACATGATTTGAAGAGTTTAGGTTAAAACTACCATTTGGCATTAAAGCAAAATTTGCATTATTCAGACTTGAACTAATTGAGACCTATCTGTATTTAAACGAGAGAATGTATTAATGTGATTATGTTGCATGGCTGTCTCTATTTTAAATAATTTCAACTTTCCTGATTCTCTCTTTTCCCTAATGAATATCAATTTTTTTTGTCACCTTCACAATGGCCTACAAAGCTATAGTATTATTAATTTTAAAGAGAATGTATGCTTCCATATGTATTAAAGAAGTGTACCACTGAGTCTACACCTCCATATTATTTGTTTACATGTTTCATCATTAGCTTACATGAAGGTGATGGGAATATATGTCAGTCATAGCTTAAGGTTGGGTGATAAGGTAAAAAGCAGGTGAAATCACTCACATTAAGTGGTGGGCTCAACCCCATTTGACTATAAATAGGCGAGTACTGATTCAAGTTTATTCTCTATAATGGTTACAATGTGGGGTTTACAGGTTTTGGGTATTTTGTGGTTTACATGTTATAAAATACTAATTACAGAGGGGGCCACTAAGACACCTAGCATGGCTAGGCATTTTGAGCAGATTTAGATTAATTCTTAACATTAAATCCTTACAGATTATGGTATTAAGGCTAAGTGACTACATCATAATTTGTGAGTTTAGCAATGTGAATGCTTTTGTTTTGGCACAATACAAGGTGTCTATATTTGAGTATCATAGGCAAACTTATGACTAGTTAGGATTTATTATTTTAAGATTAAGATTAGTATTTCTGGGTTTATAGTCAGTGGGTGAGTGAGTGTAATTTTGAACCACCAGGTGGTTATCATGTAGTTAGTTGTCGGGGTGGATCAGGGAGATAAGATGTTTTCTAACTGTAGTTTTGAAAGTGATGAATGTGTCTGCAATTCTAGAGTTTTCAGGTAGGGTGTTCCAGATTTTAGGTCCTTTGAAATACATTGAATTTTTGTAAAGGTTTAGTCGAACACGGGGAATGTCATAGAGATGTTTGTGTCTGGTGTTATGCCTGTGGATCCTGTCACAACTATCAAGAAAGCATTTTAGGTCAAGGTTAATATTGGAATTTAAGGTCCTGTAGATATAGATTGCACAGTAGTAAGTGTGGATGTTCTGAACAGGGAGTAAGTTTAGATCTATGAAGAGTGGGGGAGTGTGTTGCCAGGGATGAGATTTAGTGATTATTCTTACTGCGGCTTTTTGTTGGGTTATTATTGGCTTTAGGTGTGTTGCTGCAGTTGAACCCCAAGCACAGATAGCATAGGTGAGGTATGGATATATAAGTGAATGGTATAGTGTGAGAAGGGCAGTTTGCGGTACGTAGTATCATATCTTGGAGAGGATCCCCACCATTTGGGATACTTTTTTTGTTATGTGTTGGATATGGGTGCTGAAATTTAGGTTGTTGTCGAGGTATAGGCCAAGGAATTTGCCCTCATTATGTCTGGCAGTTAGAGTGTTGTTGATCTTAATGTTAAGTTGCGCAACACCTGCTCTGTTACCAAACATAATATAGTAGGTTTTGCCAGTGTTAAGTGTAAGTTTATTGGCTGTCATCCAAGTCGATATTTTGAGCAGCTCCTCGTTAACAATGGTGTTGAGGTTGGCAAGATTAGGGTGGGAGATGACATAAGTCGAGTCGTCAGCAAAGAGAATGGGTTTCAGGTGTTGGGATATGTTTGGAAGATCATTGATGTAAATGAGGAAGAGCAGGGGTCCAAGGACACTTCCCTGCAGAACTCCAGTATCAAGTGGCCGTATTGATGAGGCTGTGTCTTTAATGGTGACATACTGATACCTATTAGAAAGGTAGGATTTAAAATATGCAAGCGCATGGCCTCTTATATCATAGTGGTCAAGTTTGTGGAGTAGGTTGCTATGGTCTACTGTGTCAAACGCTTTGTACAATAATGGTGGGACGTGACAGATTCCCTGAGTTATTTTTAAGTGACTTTATGATCGCAGTGACTTCCGTGCATTATTTAACTTAGCCAAGAGAAGATCATTGCTTTTAGTCTTTCAGTAATTCTCTTCCTCAAAAGTGTGTAAATCTGTTTGCAATGAAGAGTTTCTAAACCACTTGGAATACTGGCTTGTAATGTAATGTTCTCTGATAACAATACTTGTTCTTGAAGTCTCTTACTTCTGGTGATGGTCTCTTATACAGTGGAACCCCAGTTTTTGAACTTAATACATTCCAGAAGGTCGTTCTAAAACCGAAACATGCTAAAATAGAATCAATATTTCCCATAAGAAATAATGTAAATACAATTAATCTGTTTTAGACACCCAGAAATATTAACAAAAAATTATTTTTTTAAAGATTAACTATAGTGTTGTAGTGTTGCAGCTCTTCAGTGGTTTGCTCTTCCCTGTGGTCATCTACCAACTCTTCCACATTCATTACTTACATTAAAATATTTGTAGTCTTAATGTAGGGTGAGAGGTGAGTAGTACTTTTTTGTAGGAAGTCACTGTGTGTGACTTTTTTGGGTTATCCTAGGTTCTCTACACATATGCTGCTATGTATGATAATCTATGTAACTGTATTTGTGTATACCTGAATAAACTTACTAAGTAGCTGGTGGATGTAGGTAGCCAGTAGGTAGCCTGGGCTACATACATACACCAATCTATGATATTTAATGCGGCCCAGAGCCATATTGTTACCATCAACATACCTTGTTTACTGAGTTAAATAATTTCTAACAACTACCTTTAGATGTCATCATAAACAAAGGGAGAAGTAATGAATAACTCATGCTGGGAATTGTAAACAAAAGCCAGATGTAGATTCATACAGTTTTCTCTGATGCTTGACCGGAGAAAAAGAGAAAACGTAATGTTTTCCCTCCACCGACTCACCATTCGATAACATATAAACATTGCATGTTTATACTATGCTATGTAACGTGTTTCTTATATAATTTTGAAGAAAATATCATAGATGGATTAATGAAAATGTCTATACTAATGCAAAACAAGACATTTAATGTTCCCAAGAATGAGTCACAAATGTATGAGAGGCCCAGGCGGACGTGTATAATACATCTGATTACTGGATCAAGGTCCGATATCCGGAACAAAATTTTGCACATAAAACTGTCCTAAAACAGAAACATCCGATAACTGGAGTGTACAAAAACCGGAGTTCCACTGTATTACCCGAGTATATTTGTTCAATTTTGTTTTATAATTATGACACCCCACAGGCTGAGCACTTCATGAATATAATAATACTGTATTATAACTTCCATCCTTCCTGCCAATATCCTTCCTTCAACACCTCCATTGCTTTGCCCTTACTATCTCTCTGCTGTACAGCACTGAATATTCCTTAGGAGTTCAGTGGTTTCTGTGAATACACTGTGATAATACAGTAATACTGATAATACAAGAATCTACATGCACTGTTGATGACCAAAAAATGAGTGAAGTTCTTTAAAAGTAGTACGAGTGTGTGTTTAACAAACCAGTCACATCATGAGCGTAGAAGACCCAGACAATTTTTTTGTTAACTCAGCATACTTTTTCTGCCCTCCACAGGAAGTATACACAGTATATGGTTGTAGCACAAACTCTGCATTATAACTAAAAACAGACCAATTATTTTAAATGCTAATATTATAGAAGCCAATCCAGCAAGAGTTTTAAGTAAAACTTCATTTGTCAAGGAGTTTAGGAGAAATTACAGCTTTTACATTTTAACTAATTTTAACCATTTTATTTATTTCTAATAAAACTTGCCCTTTATACCAAATAACTGCATAAGGACTTTTATTATAATAGTTTCTTTCTTTCAGGGTAACTTGGTCCATCCCTACCTCTCCTTACAGTACCTGGATGTTTTGAGTGCTCCAACATCTCGAGCTTTCCTGGTAGGAGCTTCCAACACACTTTTCATTCACAAGAAACATCTTTATGATGTACTTGTACAGGTGAGAACAATTTACTCATGCACAACTAAGTACTGTAAACAGAATTTTCACCACCATCTTCAGCACCATCATTCATCACCATCATTGTCATCATTATCACCATCAGTCAATCAGTTATCTATCAGTCATTTATCATCAGTCTATCATCATCATTCATTACAATGATGTGAGTAGTACACTGATGAAAAAAATAACCAAACCAGGATGACCCAAAGAAGGAAGTACAATTTATAACCAGTACATCATTTTACAATATTGTTGTACAGCCTATTATACAATTTTTTTGGTCAGTTATTGCATTACATTATAAATTTTTGCACTTTACATTCAGAATTAATTATGCACTTAGTCAGATATGGGTACTTTTCAACCAGTTCGCACATCACACTAAGTGAGAATATTAACTCAGTTTGATGGGTAAGACACCGTAACTGGAGTATACTTAGAGAGGGTTTTGAGGGTCAACGCCGGTCTGAGACCAGGCCTTGTGGTGGACCAAGGTCTGATCAACCAGGCTGTTACTGCTGGCCGCACACAAACTGACATACAAACCCAGCTGGTCAGGTGCTGACTTTAGGTGCCTGTCCAGTGCCTTCTTGAAGACAGCCAGGGGTCTATTGGTAATCCCCCTTATGGTATGCTGGGAGGCAGTTGAACAATCTTGGGCCCCTGACACTTACTGTGTTGTCTCTGTGTGCTTGTGGTGCCCCTGCTTTTCACTGGGGGAATGTTGCATCTCCTGCCTAGTCTTTTGCTTTCATAGGGAGTGATTTTCGTGTGCAAGTTTGGTACTAATCTCTCTAGGATTTTCAAAGTGTATACAGTGGTACCTCAGGATACGAAATTAATTCGTTCCAGAAGGTTGTTCGAGTGCCGATACTGAACAAATTTGTTCCCATAAGGAATAATGTAAATTAGATTAATCCATTTCAGACCCCCAAAAATACACTTACATAAATACACTTGCATATTTCTTTTTGTGATATTAATTGCTGCAAACTTTCTGCTATAAGGCAAATCCTACTCTGATTAATTTTATATCATAGTGACTCTTTATACTTTAAAGGTTGTTTACCACTACTTAATTTAATCCCTTTATATATTTCTCCTGAAATAATTCTCTATATACCAATACATTGTACTGCCCTTTATTCAGTAATTGCTATACTTCTAGTTTTAATAACAAAGGGCTACTTTCAGGTGTTATAATATTTTTTCCCTCTTGTCCATCTAGTCACATTTATTAAAATATTCCAGGTGCTATTGACTATCTCAAGTGCTACTGTTTTTTTAACCCTTTCAGGGTTTCGGCCGTACTAGTACGGCTTACGCCCCAGGGTTTTTGACGTACTAGTACACCTAAATTCTAGCACCCTCAAATCTAGTGAGAGAAAGCTGGTAGGCCTACATATGAAAGAATAGGTCTATGTGGTCAGTGTGCGTGGTATAAAAAAAATCCTGCAGCACACAGTGCGTAATGAGAAAAAAAAACTGACCGTGTTTTTGGATTAAAACAGCGACTTTGCACTGTATTTTTGTATGGTATTTATTGTTGTATTCTAGTTTTTCTAGGCTCATTTTATAGAATGGAAGACATATTACAAAAATTGAGATGATTTTGACTGGTTTTACAATGAAAAGTACATTGAAATTGAGCTCAAAGTAGCAGAAATGTTTGATTTTTACCAAAGTTCAAAAGTAAACAAATCATGCCAAGCATCCAATACACGTCAACTGGTGAGTCTAATATTCTTTTGCAAGTGCGCTGATATTATTTATACCATTTCTACACTAATGCAGTAGTCTGCATAACAGTAAATCTTCTATTTTTTTGTAAGAATAAAAATTCAAAATGGAAAGCCACAGAAATATAAGAGGGGCCTGGGGATGTGACTAACGAACAGAGAACTTGTTATTTTAGTGCCAGGAATGTCTTGTTTATTCCGGACCCTATTCAGAAATTGGCATATTTTGAAATTTGTGTGAAATTGGCAAAATTGCTAAATTCTGACCACTTTATTGGATAGTTGAAATCAGTAAATGGGTGGTTTCTTGTACTCATTCGATAGAAAAAAATGGAGTTCTAGCGAAATAGTTATGATTTTTGTCGACTAGTACACTGGAATTGGCCGAAAATAGAGCTCAAAGTGGGCAAAATCGCTGATGCGTAAACATCGTCGAGACCGCTAACTTTGCGAGAGCATAATTCCGTAAGTTTTCCATCAAATTTCATACTTTTGGTGCCATTATGATCGGGAAAAGATTCTCTATCTTTTCATAAGAAAAAATATTTTTTTTTTTAAATTTGGGGACCCTGATAACAAGTCTCGGAGAGGGCCTGGGGACCCTGAAAGGGTTAATTCATTCTTTTATTATTATATTCACTAGCTCCTAGCTGTAAATATCTACCGTAGTTCATATACTCACATTTGTTAAAATAATTAAGGTGCTATTTAGATGCTTGAGTGTATAACTGAATTATCTATTCTATAATAATCCCTAGTTCTTTTATATTTTTACAAGTTTTAGAATAATTACAGAGTCTTATTCCTAAGTCGAGTTGTAGATTCACTATAAATCTTATAATATTTTACTCAGAAAATCTAGTTTGTAGAGTCACTCTCATCTCATGACTACAGGCATAGATCCTGATGTAAACTTTTTACTAAATGAATTACACGAATCAAACAGCAACTGTAATTACTATACAGCAGACCAAGCAAAGACATTACTCAGAGCAAGCAATAACATAACCATCTTTAACTACAATGTCAGATCCTTGAGTAAACATTATGACGACCCCACAGCATTACTCAGTTTCCTTCTTTCCAATATATCAATCATCACACTCACAGAAACTGGCTTAAGCTTGATATTACAGATGTCTATGCCATTCCTGGCTACATGGCCATGCACAACTGTAGGACAGACCAGCAAGGGGGAAGGAACAGCTATATACTACTCAAATCAACTCGAATGTATCAAAAAATCTTGCACAAGGGATGAACATGGAGAATATATCATAGCCAAATTTAAATCAAAAGACCTGCAAAAACCCCTCACCGTTATAAACATCACAGAGTACCACAGTCAAACATTTACCACTTTAGTGAAAAACTAGGAAACATGATTACTGATGCACACATGAATAAAGACTGCCTGCTACGAACAGATTTTAACATAAACTTACAACACGACCAGGACCCACAAGTAACCGAATTCACAAACACTATGAGCAACTGCCTGTTGCTACCAACAATATCTAAACCTACAAGAATCACCGAGACAAGTATCTCCTTAATAGACCACATCTGGACTAACACCATATCCCCTTTAAAATCGGGCATAATCACAGACAACACTACAGACCACTGCCCAACCTTTCTCATAACTAATCTAGGTAAATTGCCACAAGACTATGTAGTCTGAAGGTTACTAAAGTAACCTTCAGACTACATAGCGAGACAGCTGTTAACTTTATAGCAGCTATGAATAACATCGATTGGCAAAATGAGCTCGAAACATATACAGATATGAATGAATGTATAAATAATTTTCTAAAAAAAAAAGCCCAGTGCCTCTACAACAAACATTGCCCCCCAAAAAACTAAACAGATTACAGCAAAGAGACTGAATAGTCCCTGGCTAACACCCAGCATCCTCAAATCCATTAACACAAAGCACAAATATGAAAAACAGTATAGAATGGGTCAAATAACTAGAGAACATTCTAAACGTTACTCATCAGCTCTTACCAGCCTGATAAGAAGATATAAAAAATTGTATTATGAAAATAGATTACATAACATCAAAGGTGATATGAAATTCTTGGAACTAAAAAGTTATCCAAAAACAAATCAATCAAACTAACAAAATCAGACGAACCCCTACTCGCACCATCTGAAATAGCAAACAGACTCAATGTTTACTTCTCCACCATAGGAAAAAATCTAGCGAAAATACCCTCTGAACTCCGAAACACTTGAAGCAATCTCTGAATATATTGCAGAGACCAAACCATCAATGGACACTGATCCACCCTCTGTTCCTTCTCTTTCCTCTTCTCCATCTGCGCAACTCCTTTCTTCACAACGCACCGTTCCTTCGCTACTTGAACGTTTTCCTTTTCCACCGCATGTGGACTTTTCTAACCCCTCTAGTCCGCAGGTACTCTTACCTGCGGATTTCAGGTATTTTTATCGTTGCCAATCATGGCCTATTTACAGTGGAATATTCGCGGCCTCAGGGGTAATTGGGGTGAGCTTCAGATGTTGCTCTCCCAGTTTTCCCCTGTTGGTGTTTGCTTACAGGAACCAAAATTACACTCTGCCGTTATCTATCCTATCTCAGGCTATAATTTATTGTATTCTTCAGATCCTTTTCCTGATGGGACCTTTAATGAAAGTGCCCTTCTTCTACGCACTGATATTCCATACCATCAGCTATTTGTTCATACTTTGCTGCATTACACAGCAGCCCGTATCCATTTGCATAGGTGGTATACACTCTGTTCTTTGTATCTCTCTCCTTCTTGGGCATTATCTATCCCAGATATTGCCTTTCTTGTTTTGTCATTACTGCCACCACTTCTGTTACTTGGTGATTTTAATGCCCATCATTTCCTCTGGGGGGTCCCACTGTGATTCCCGTGGCATTCAATTAGAGGCTTTTCTTGCTACCCACCCTCTCCATGTTTTAAATACAGGTACTCACACCCATTTTGATCCTCGGACTCATACTCTCTCTTGCATCGATCTCTCAGTCTGCTCTTCCTCCGCCGCATTAGACTTCACCTGGTCTGTTCTCCCGGATTTACATGACAGCGATCATTTCCCAATCATTCTTACTTCCCCTTCATATTCACCACCTCTTCGTAACCCACGCTGGCAATTTGATCAGGCAAATTGGAACCTTTACTCACAACTAATTGTTTTTAGTCAGGTTCCTTCTTCGTCCTCCATTGATGAGCTTTTACACCTCTTCTCGTCCTCCGTTTTAAC